TTCATTTAGGAATTCGTATTATTTTCATCGCAGAATTTCAAATACTTTTAATGCAATTTTAAATAAATTTTTCGAAAAATGCAATTAATCTTAAAAATTATATTAAAACTTGACGAAAGAATTTAATTTTAAGAAACATTTAATTATTCAATAAAATAATAAAATTTAGTTGCAATAATTCGATTATTTTCATAAATGACTTTTAATTCGTCGCAGAAAATCAATTATTTTCAAAAATTTTTAAGTATAATTCTGCAAAAGAATTCAATTATCTTGATAAACAACAAAATTCTTCCCATAAAATCAATTATTTTGAGGAATTTTTAATAAAATTCTTTTTTAAATTTAATTATTTTGATAAATATATCAATATTCATCACAAGAATTCAATTCTTTGGGAAAATAATAAAATACTTTGCAGAAATTAAACTATATTTTCAAATTTTTTTTTAAATTCTCGTCAAGAATTAAATTATTTTTATAAATAAATAGCGAATTCAATTCTTTAGAAAAATAATAAAATACTTCGCAGAAATTAAACTATTTTCCAAATTTCTTTTAGATTCTCGTCAGGAAAATTATTTAAACAAAATTTAATAAAATTCTTCACATGAATCCATAATTATTTACATAAATTATTATTTAAATTCTTCTCATGAATTCAATTATTTTCACAAATTTTAGTAAAATTCTTCAAAAAGTTTTTAATTATTTTTAAAATTAATTTTAATTAAATTTCTTAAAAACAAATTAATATTTTCAAAAGTTGTTAATAAAATTCTTCTTAAAACTTAAATTTTAAGTTTTTATTTTCTAATCTAATATATTTAACTGAAGATTTTTCAAATAATCGACATTTCAAAAAAATTGAATTGTGAACAAAACGGATTTGAAAATTCTCAAAGAACTTTTTCAAAAATTATTAAAAATAATTGATTTAAAGAAGAATTGTAGTTAAGAACTTAAAAATCCTAGAAAATGTTTATTGAATTGAAATGATGAAAATAATTTTGACGAACTTAAAGGAAAAATATTCTTTTATAATATAAAATTAAAAATAATGATTTTATCACAAGGTCATTTTTAATTATTATAAAACATGAAGAAAGCTATTACTCTGAGTTGAAGACTCGGAGTGATTGATTTCTTCATGTTTTATAATAATTTCCACAGTTGTTGAATTTCAAAAAAGTTTAAATTAAAAATTTTTAAACATCTTAATTCCAATGGAAAAATAATGATTAAATAGGGGAATGTAGTCAAGGTTGGTCTACTGTCTAGGTAGGCCACTCGCGTTTTTTTGTCAAGTTCACTAGCGCCACCTACGCGCATGCTTGTCGAAGCTTGTCTTAGTAAAACCTAACTTTTTGTTCAATTACATTTTCGGAGGATCGAAAATTGTGTTTTCTGTGACGTCGGTACAAAAAAAGCTCAAAAAAAGTTTTGTGCATAATGTGAAAAACCATTAATAAAAGATAAAAAACAAATTGAATCGTCAAGGCAAGTATGCAGAACATTTGTGGGACTCATGGTTGAAAGAAAAACAAAGTAAAAGAACGAATCCCGAAACGTATTTCTTTATGGTTACAACAATTCGGTAATGTTACTTACTGTCAAGGTCGGCCACTATGTGTTTAAAATGCGCAAAGATGAGGACGAGCTACTTCATTTGCAAAAACTGCAATTCTGTATAACTCATAATATAATTGATCATCTTATTAATATTTTTATTTAATTTTATTAATATTTTAGTGCAAAATTTTTTTTTATTTATATTTATTTTTTTATATTGTTTATTTTTATTATTTTGTTATTTCATTAAGTTACAAACTGTAAACAATAAAGAATCAATTTTCCGTAACTCCAAACATGTTATTTTATTTTTTAAAGATTAATGCCCTTTAAATTTTAAACATGGCCGACCTTGACTGTAATGGCCAACCTGGACTACAAATTTTTTTTTTTTTAAATCTTTATAACTTTTTCATTTTTAAACCTGTCAATTTACTTTGTACAGAAAAAATGTTCCTATTAAACAGGACTTTCCAACCATATACTTCAATTGTCCAAATTCATTTTTTAAAAAAAGTTATAAACAAAAGTCAAAAAGGTGGCCGACCTAGACTATGTTCCCCTATTTATTTAATGAAGAAGTTATTGTTTTCAAATAATTTTGCAATTAAAAAAATTACTAAATAAATGCATTAGAGAATTTTTTTTGACTATTTAATCATTGTTAGAGTGAATCAGAATATTTTATTACACGGAGAAAAAAATAAAGTAACTTTTACCATACTTTTATATAGTAAAAAATTTCCGATAAAGCATTTCTGGTAATTTTTGCTATTTTTGGAGTAAATTTTGCTACGTTCGAAATAAATTTTACTAATTTTTTACAAATATGTACTTTGAACGTAGCAAAATTTACTCCAAAAGTAGTAAAAGTTACTTTATATTTTTCTCGAGTTAGGGAAAAAGGGAAAATTTTCTCTGGAAATCACGGAAAAGTCGTGGAATAACAAAGTTAAATTTTTGTGGAAAACCTGTATTTTCTCTTAGAATAATTATTTCTTCTAAGAGTAATAATTATTTTCTCAAAGAATAATTAGTTTTTCCTCAGTGTAAATAAAAGAACTGATTAAAATATTTTTTTTTTTGCAAAACGTTCTGTAATTTTCTTTCGCCCTTCTTTTTTTCAAAGAGAGAGAGAGAGAGAAAGTATATTTTCGAGTCAATGTAACCATTGGGGTCCCAACCAATTTCAACCGTCATTCCAAGTTCAAATATAACGCCATTCCGCGGAGCAAACATTTCTACTTTCGTCGTGTAAACCTTGAGAATATATATGTATATATATACCTCGGGGAAGCTTTACTCTTGAACCGTGCTGACCATTTTGCATCTCATTCACTTTCATTCATGCCCTTTTTGCTGAATATATAGCTGAATATATAGGTCCATTTGTATGTACTGGTTACAAGACTACTCGACATATGAACAATATATCTCAACTGAAATCTCAGTGCAAATTGCATGCCCTCTGGGATAATGCTTCATTCGTCAAGGTCCGCAGAAGGAGAAAAAAAATAATAAAAACTTTATACCTCTCTCTTTGAGAAAAAAGTTATATACGCAAATATGAATGCTCAGACATTCGGAGTTCTTACCACTTTTCAGATTCTTTTATACTATTCACGAATGTGGACACAGACATTCCTTTTTTTCTAATTCATGCGCGAGAGCGGCGCACTGCGAAACTAAATAATGCTCAAGATATGTTTGTTTTTCCTTTAGAGAAAAAATATATGGAAATAAAGTCTTCAATTTTATTTAGTATACGAAACAATTTTCCCTTTTTGGTTTTTGGCTCTCATTCGGATCAAACTACAAATTGATCCAAGTTCTTGGTATCAATTTGGATCCACATTTTTGGTATTACTTTGGATCATAAGCTATATATATATATATATATAAGTTGATCCAGATTTTTAGCATTAATTTGAATCAAATTATTAGTTGATCCAAAATCAAATATTTTATATATGTTTGATAATTCAAAAAATGTTTTTGAATCAAAATAAAAGAAAGAGAGAAAGAATTAACATTCAGTTATAAGAATTAAGTGGTATTAAGTAATAACGAGTGATATTAAGTGATAAAGAATGATGTTAGGAAGGAAGGTGAATTGTATTCTGTTCCAAAATGCTGGTAGCAGTCCTTTAGAAAATTGTAAAGTAGGAGGGCAATATGAGAAGGAAGTTACTCGCCCCACTCCTTGTCAGGTGACCGCCCTCTCATGGCCCCTCTCAGTCGGCTAGTTTCACGTGCCCCTATATCGTCAATCTTCAACGGAACATTCACATGCACACACGGAAGTTTGTTCCACTCACGTGAAACGAGAAATTTAAATATAATCCGTAAAATGTTACGACCTTAAAGTTCACAGTCTTTTTTTTTTGGTGCGCATATTTAGTTTTTTAAGTTTTATCACCATGGTTGTGTTATTGTAAGTGAAAAAAGTGTTAATTACCAGTGAATTTTTCATTAAAAACTCGAATACATTTCGAATATTTCTTATATATTTCGAAGTACTCCTAAAAAGTATCTTTAGGAATGTTCATAAAAAATTGAATCTTTAGTGTCCAAGGAATGCTTTTTTGGAATACTGAACAGATGTCTTTTCAAGATATGCATAGGACTAAAACCTTCCGCTAATTTTTGTTTAGAACATTAAAGAAATATTTGTTTGGAAACCCATTTTGTCTCAATTTGATATCCTTAGAAAAGTTGTGATGCTAAAGAATATTTGTCTTACATGCTCAGGAAATGTTTTTCATTTCATTTACGTTTGTTATGAAGTTTGTTTGGAATACTAAAGAAATGTTTGGAATACTAAATGAATTTTGAGAAATACTAAATGAATTTTGAGAAATATTAAAAGGATTTTAGAAATATTAAAGGAATATCTATAAGATTAGTAAAGAAAAATATGTTTGCACTACTGAAAGAATTTTCATTTGGATCAGTGTTGCAAAGTTTTTTTTTTGTATATAGGTACTCCAAATTGTTAGCTATTAGCACTTCGATTTTTATGATTAATTACAATATGCAGAGTAACAAATCATTTTAGTGGTATTTTAATAAAAGTTAAGACTTTTGTTAAGGAATTTTAGTGGAAGCTCAATAATATTGATGCTACAGAATATTAATATTAATAATCTTATTAATACTGTGGAACATTAATATTAATAATAATCTTAGTACTACTCTGAATCATTAATATTAATAATCTTATTAATACTGTGAAACATTAATGTTAATAATCTTATTACTACTATGAATCATTAATATTAATAATCATATTAATACTGTGAAACATTAATGTTAATAATCCTATTAATACTGTGAAACATTTTTAACAGCATCTGGGAATATTTATGCAAAATATCAAACCAATTATTAAAAGTAGCTTAACCTCCCTGTTTTTTCTACTATTCCAGATCCATAATGCAACCATTTTCAACGAGCACAACAATGGCGACAGATCCACCGACAAGTTTACCTCCAGAACGTGGACCATCGCCAACGCCATGTCGAAATTTAACATTTTCCATAGCAAAAATAATGGAACCCGACAAACGTCTCACCGAGTGCAATCAATCATCACAACAAAATGCCGCAACAATAATTCATCAATCGCAAACAATTTCAACTCTCACCTACTCGGCCCATTTGGAATCAGCCTTTAAAAAATACGTCCCCACAATACGACATCAAAGTCTTCTTCAACACTATCCCCTTCTCTACTATCATCCAAGTCCCCTATTAAGAGCATTCCCCAATCCAGGACTCCCAACACCGCCATCATCAACAACAACAGCATCAACAACAACATCTTCATCATCAGCAGCATCCACTCAAAATTCCCCACCACCACCAAATTTTCAAGAATCATCACAACATAATCATTCAACAACCGATCGACGTGGCAAAAAACGACCCCTATCACCATCGCCACCAGTAACAAATTTATCAAAACAAAAAACATTCACGTGCAACGAGTGCGGCAAAGTGTTCAATGCTCATTACAATCTCACCCGACACATGCCCGTTCACACTGGTGCAAGGCCATTTGTCTGCAAGATATGCGGCAAGGGTTTTCGTCAGGCGAGCACCCTATGCCGTCACAAGATCATTCACACCGCCGAGAAACCCCACAAGTGTGGAACCTGTGGAAAAGCCTTTAATCGTAGTTCAACATTGAATACACATACGCGAATACACGCAAATTTTAAGCCATTTGTCTGTGAATTTTGCGGCAAGGGCTTCCATCAGAAGGGCAATTATAAAAATCATAAATTAACGCACAGCGGTGAGAAGGCATATAAATGTAGTATTTGCAATAAGGCATTTCATCAGGTTTATAATTTAACATTTCACATGCACACGCACAATGATAAGAAGCCATTTTCATGTAAAATTTGCGGTAAGGGCTTCTGCAGGAATTTTGATCTCAAGAAACATATGAGAAAATTGCACGATGCCGGTTCACCGATTATGAATGGTTTAGGTGGAACATCGGCATCGCAAAATCATCATAATCATCATGGTCAACATCAGGCTGGCTATTCGTCGGTTCATCATTCGTCGGGTCATCCATTTGTCAGTCCATTTCTATTGCCACCGCCGGGTTCAACGAGTTATTTATGCAAAATGTTGTGACATGAGAATGTTCACTATGTGAGAAACAAGAGTCAATATCCATTAATGATTGGATCATCGTCATCGTGTTATCCTTCGGATATTGGTGCACTTGTTCAATCTTCCAAGTGAAGATGAAATCTTCATTTGATCAGTGATATATATATATTATATGATATAAAGTAAGGGAACATTAGGAAAGTATTGTATATGTAAATGATTAAATTGATTCAGGAGAGAGTGGAGGATTATACAGTGCCGATCATAATTTTTTATGTTCTGGAAACTATTATGAAAACGGTTGCTATCGTAATGGTTACGATAGCGACTGTGAATGTGGTAATCGTTAGTATACTAACGGCTACTATGGTAACGATTAATATACTAACTGTTATTGTGGTAATTGTTACTGTACTAACGGTTACCATGGTAATTTTTACTATACTAACGGTTACCATGGTAACGATTAATATCTAGCAAGGTTGTTATAGTAACTGTTGCTTAGAAACGATTTCTACAGCAATAATTACCATAGCAACCGTTACCATACCAAAAGTTTTCGCAATAGTGATTACTGTATAGCAACGGTTACCATACCAATAATTTTCTTGTAACGATTACCATAGCAACAGTTGTTACAGCAACTGGTACCTAGCTACGATTACTATGGCGATGACTACTATATAGTAACCGTTACCATACCAACAGTTTCCATAGTAACAATTACTGTAACAACGGTTACCATAACAATAATTTCCACAGCAACGATAACCATGGTAACAGTTTTCATAGTAACCACTACCTAGCAACTATACCCTATTAGCACAGAATTATTCCATTCACATTCCTGGAATATTCAGTCGAATCTTAAGTAATATTCCAAAGAAATATTTCTATTCAGTTGGAACACTGAAAACATTCCGAAGGTCGGCAATTTTAATATAATTAAAATGTGGACGGAATATTCCTTCAGAATAAAGTGGAAATATTCGACTTAAATATTGTGGGAATATTCCATTGGAATTTTGTGAAATTATTTTTTTATTACTATTAATATTAATGATGATACATTAAACAATTTTCTCAACATTGAAATTAATTATCAATTTAAATTGAACTGAAATAGTTTTTTGAATTTAAAGAGTATAATATTCATGTTATAATATTCCAATAGAATATTCCTGCATAATTCAAAAGGAACATTCCAAAGATTGTCCACATTTTAATAATCCTAAAGTCTAAAATAGAATTTCTAAAATTATTAAAAACAGTAAAAAGTAAAAACTAAATTGGAACATAAGGAATATTCCTTTGGAGTATAATATTAAATATTCCAGGAATGTGAATGAAATATTCCGTGTTATTAAGATATTACAATAGTTATTTTTAATATTCGAATCAAAAAATGAAATTAAAACCCAATTCTGACAATGTAACGGTTGTCTTATAGTAATCGCAACGACGTTAATAGCAAGAAAATATTCCATTAGCATTCCGGGAATATTCCATTAGAACATTGTGAATATTCCTTCGGAATATTCTATGCACCTGTAGGGATAAAAAAAATCACCGACTTTTGTAAGCTTTCCTTGGAATAATGTGGAAATATTCCATCTAAATATTGTGGGAATATTCCATTGGAATTTTGTAAAAATATTTTTCATTATTATTCGTATTCTTGATAAAAAAATAATCAATTTACTCGACACTCAAATTACTTGGAAATTTACATTGAACTGAAATAATTGTAAATTTGAAAAGTATAATCCCCAATGGTACGGAATATTCCATTTCTCATTCCTGAAACATTCCATTGAATCATTAAAAATATTTCTTTCCAATATTCTATTCACATTTTAGAAATATTAAAATGTCTGACCTTTGGAATATTCTTTTGAAATAATATAATTAAGCAGTAATATTCAATTGAAATATTGTTAATTAAATACTATACGATCGGTGGAATATTCGAATATTTCACCGAAATATTACTTTTTAAATTTACCTCTTTATTTAATACTTTAAATTAAATATTCATGAATTTCTTCAAATGTACCGAAAATTAATTAGTATATCATCAAAAATACTAACAAGAGAAAATATCTTTACAAAATTTCAATGGAATATTCCAAAAGTGGAAATAGTATTTCAAAGGTCATATATATTAATATTACTCAAATGTGGATGGAATATTTCAGAAAAATATTCCAAATGATTCAATTGAATATTCCAAGAATGTGAATGTAATATTCAGTGATATTGGGAATATTTCTTCTACAATATTCCAATAGAATATTCCTACAAAATTCGTAAGGAACATTCCAGAGTTTGAATATTTTAATATTCTTAATGTCTAAAATTAAATTCGAATTCCTAAAATTTCTAAAAGCTATATTGGAAGATGGGAATATTCGAAAGGAGTATTCCTTATATTTCGAGTGAATATTCAAAGAAAGTGAATGGGATATTCCATTTTTATTATTTTTTAAAGGATTTTGTTTACTGGATTAATAATTATGACCGGTGCTGTAATTTTTGCGGAATAAAGTGAGGATCGATTTAAAATAACAAAACTCGACTTTGACACGTTCAGTGACAAAAAAAATATTTCAATTTCTAAAAAGAAAACACAATTGTAATTATTAATGTTAAAAAATTCTGTTTAATATTTACAAAAAGAGAACAATTCCGTAGAGGAATAAAAATTCGAATACTATGTGTTATGTAATATCTACGAAATTCGACTTAAAAATTACTGAAATATTTTTCTAAAATGTTCTTTCAATAATTCTCAAAAATATTTAAGAAATATTTCACAAGAATATTCAAGAAAAATTTTAAAAGAATATTTAATATGCACAAAATTATTCCACAAGAATATTTCTTAAATACTTCACAAAAATATTCCTTGAATACTACTAAAACATACTCGCTAAATACTCCAGAGGAATATTCCTCTAATATTCTACAAAATAATTTTTAGGAAATTTGTGGAAAAATTAAAAAAAAATTTTTTTGAATCATTTAAAAAATTTTTTAAATAAATCCTTAATATTTCTCTGAAATAATTCTACGGATTTTTCACCAAAATATTCCCAAAAATAAAAAAAAATATTCAAATATAATTTGTTCTCTCAAGTGGAGTAAAAAATTGATTCATTTCGGTAATGTTTACAAAGAGAAAATTAATCTTGTAAATTCTGGTTTATCGACAAATTATAAATTAAATTTAATATTAACTGACAAATTTACTTACCTGTTTCAAGATGAATATCAACAAAGTGAATATAATTTACTCTCTGAACGGCACGTGTAGTTTTGTCACTGACAAGTCACTAATGAGATTGCTGATTTGCTTTAATAACCAGGGGAGGAGATGCAATTGACTTCCGCGATATATAGTTATCTTGTAAATATTTGTAAATAATCGTCACATATGAAAATCAAATAATTTTATGCGGAGGACGAAAAAAAGAGAGAAATGTGTAATTATTTTTCATTGAAACGCTCAATTTAATTGAATAAAAATAATTCAATTAAAAAACAGTAAAAATTTCCACCAGACAAACAGTATTTTTTTGCGAAAAAATATTTATTCGAATAAACAGAATTTTAGTCAATCAATTTAATTGGAACTAAATTAATCCAAATTATATTAATACTCAAAAATTTTATTTTTGTTATTTTATTAAATAAAAACAAATTTTTATTCTATTCATTTGGAATAAACTTTAAATAAAGTAAATTCTTTTCTGATAAAATAATTACACGAACTAAAAGAAACACGACGTATGTAAATCATTTTAGATAAGTGTATAAATTGGTGTGATAGTAGAATTAAGAAATTTAGATAGAAAATAAAATGTTGGTCATTATTATCGTTACCATTAAAAAAAAATTATTACAATGTGAAATATCATCGATAATAACCAATATTTGCGTATATTAATTATAAGCACAACGAATGTGCTTGTGAAACAAAAAGTATTACCATTGAAAATTATTTTTTTGTAATTATACTTATTACACTATTTGACTAAAATGAAATACTCCCTGAAATTATTATACCAAAAATAAATTATAAAAATTCTCCTCTAAAAAAAATTACTAGATTAAATTTATTCAATAGTAACACAAAAAAAAATTTTATACAAAACTGAATAGAAATTTTTACTGAAAATATTCACAAAGAAACATTTTTTTTTATCATAGCATTTTTTTACCATAGAATTTTTTTACCTTAGAATCTTTTTACCTTAAAATTTTTTTACCATGGAATCTTTTTTACCATAGAATTATTTTTTTCTCTCTTAAATTTTAAATTTTTGTTAAAATTAATCAAAGAATTTTTTTCTGTAAACTTTTTGTCTAAAAAAATGATGATTTTCTTTTATTATATTCTAATTTTTTCAAAATGGTTTTTATCTTCAAACAAAAAGTTTTTAAAATTTACTAATGTTGTTATTATTAAAAAAAAGTTTCGTATAATGAGTCAGGGAACATTGAATTTTGGAGAAAATCTCTTACTAGAAATCGATCATAAAATGCTACTATTTAAAATTTAGTCAAATTGCAATAATGATGAATTAAAAAATCATTAAGGCAAATGCTACATATTGAAAAAATAATATATGTAGATACATGATAAAGTAGAAAAATTATATGTATGTATGTGTCCCCTCTTGTAAATATAAGTCACTCCAATGCAATAAATTTATCGATATATGAACAATCAGAAATAACGTCTATTTTTATTTCACTTCTCTCGATTTTTATTATAAAAAGAATTCAATTTTTTTATATACTGTAAATTATTATATTATATATTTTTAAAATGTTATTAAATTAATTAATTTCTCTATTTCTTAATTTCTTAATTTATTAAAATTATTAATTTATTAATTTATTAATTTATTAACTTATTAATTTGTCAATTAATAAATTTATCAATTTGTTAACTTATTACTTAATTAATATTTATTATTTCATATTTAATTGTTATTACACTAAGTAACAAAAAATTTGTATTGATATTAAAAATTAATAAGTTAATAATTATTGACTTAATAATTTTTTTTTGTTAGTCGAATTTTATTAAACGTATTTTTATTAAACTAACAAAATTTTGTTTTTCATTTTGTTGAAGTTTAAATCTAACGCCAACGAATCGATATGATAAAGTTTATTAAATGTCAGCTAATTTCTTAAAGACGTCATCAAACTTAATCTTCTACAACTTTGGTATTCGTATGTATATAGGAAATTTTATCTAGAGCATATCATACCCTTGAGATTGATACCATCTAAGACGCAAAATATGCAGAGGAACGTAAAATCATTTTTTTGTATTTTTTTTTGGAAATTTTTAGAATTTTAATAAATTATATAAAATTATAATTTTTATTTTACTTAATATTAAAAGTAAGTATTTAATTAGCTAAATATTAAATGTAGGTATTAATTTTACCAAAAATTAATATTAAAAGAAATATTTTTCAAAATTCGTATTTTCAAATTAAATAAGTATTTGGAAATAAATATATATTTGAACAATAGTATTTGCCAATTAATATTTGAAAATTTATATTTGCAAATTAGTATTTGACAAATTAATATTTGAAAATTTATAATTGAAAATCAGTATTTGCCAATAAATGTTTGAAAATTTATATTTGCAAATTAGTATTTGACAAATTAATATCTGGAAATTTATAATTGAATATTAGTATTTGCCAATAAATGTTTGAAAATTTATAATTGAAAATTAGTATTTGGCAATAAATGTCTGAAAATTTATATTTTCAAATTAATATTTGGAACTAAATGCAAAAATATTGTTTTCAATATTAGTTTTCTTTTCATTGTAGAAAATTATTTATTGTGACGGATAAAATTACATTTTTTTGTAAAAAATAATTTTTTACTCAGAAAAAAAATTGGAGTGAAGCGCAAATTTTCTTTTTACTAAGAAAATTATATTTTTTGCATAAAAATTAATTTTTTATACAGAAAACAATTGGAAAAAAACACAAATTTTCTTTTTATCAACAAAATT